ATGAAATTCTTTAAGTTATTAGTAAGTTTTAGACAAGCGAATACATGAGATCATTCTGTCAAAGGTTTGTTGGTTATAATAGATGAAATGTTACCCGGAGATAGTTAGCTTTCATGGTTACATGTGTCGATAGGGTGCGTCACGGATCTCCACAATAATATGATATTTCCACTTTGAGCATAAGTTCTCATGACTTTAGCCCAAAAGACCTCATACCAACGGAGATGTATTCGTCAAAAGGTCTATGTAGCCCTCAAACAGCCTCCAGACTCAACTCCTTTTTCTGGAGCAATTTCTTTGTTCGACACCTGATGATTCTATTAACATAACTAAATTAAGGGCATGACTCTAATACCATGTTAAGAATTGTGGATCTCCACAATAGTATTATATTGTCCACTTTGAGCTCTCATGGCTTTGTTTTGGGCTTCCCAAAAGACTTCATAACAATCGAGATGGATTCCTTACTTATAAACCTAATTATCATTCCCTTAATTAGCCAATTGGGACTCCCTCCTAACAATCCTAACAATTCTTTCATTTAATCGTGACTTAATAGTTTTCCTTTTAATTTAAGTCGGTACGAGACATGTTAACCATATATAAGTAAGAGTTACGAATACTAGAGTTTATACGTGTATCTCGTGATAGTAGAACTAATCATCATTAGTTCAAATAGCCTTAAAGGAAGTTCACAGTCTGTTTAAGCTACGATCCACGCAAGCAATCATATTATTGAACACTATATGCTTGGTTTGATGAACTTTTTGATATATAATAAAATACTATTTTTTAATAAGAACCATTTTTATTATAATGCATGCATGCCAGGTATGATGGTGACACGAAAAATTGATGATACTCTTAGTAATAAATAAGGAAAGTAATCTAGCCACATAATTAATAGAAACGATTCACGAAAGAAATGATTAAATGATGCATCACGAATTATAACGTATGCTCTCTTAGCTGTGAGGCCTTCGTCCATATTTATGATTACGAAAAAATGAGATTGCAAAATCTTGTCAATATAGCCCCGAAGAAGAGTGACAAAATGGTAGCCACGGGGAAAAGTAGCAATATGGTCACGATCATGTTTCTATGGAAATATGGTTATATCTTTAGCGATATGACCAATAAAGCAAAAGTTATATTTTTTTTTTTTTCAATAAGAGGAAAGATATCATACACAAATGATGGTGTTTGCTTAAGAGGCCAAAGATAGTTCAAACAAACTTAAATCGACAAGATAATCCAATTATAATTAAATAACATTTTATTTGCTTTCTAAAAAGCATGTATTTCTTTATATTTATTATATAAAAAAAAAGATCCCAAAAGAAAATGGTATGAATTAGAAGAACATATAATGGTTATCTATTTATATGACAAGACATGATTTGATGTTGTTTTGGATTTGCATAGTTATGGCACAAATTTTAGTGGTTCACTAGTCCTCTGTCTTTAGTTCTAAAGCTTGTGTGTCTACACTGGTTGTGAAGATGACTAATGATATACATGTCTGTCCCTCTCAACCACCAAATGCCCAAAACTACCAACTATAATTTTCATTAAGGATATGTACAAAGTCATTTGTATGTGCTTTGTGTGAGACATCATGTGCTTTGCCCTCCTTTTCCATTTGTGGGTTCTCACCTTTTTGTTCTAAATTATTGGACCATAGTTTATTGTTCATATTATACTTGATTAGACACTGATACACTGTTTTAATGAATGTAAAAAGATTGGAGAAGTTAAAGTTTTATGAACGGTATGTATGTCGATATGTTTGTGCATGACAGCTCGACTGCACGATTGTATTATTTGTAAAACATTGAGTAGATCATGCAAGATCCCACATCGATTGGAGAGAGGAATGAGTGCAAGCGAAGATGTTGGACCTCGAAAGGGGTGAATTGTGAGATTGGTTGGAGAGGAGAACAAAACATTTTTTATAAGGGTCCCTAGTTTTAAAAAGTTTGAGGAGAAACCCAAAGGGAATGTTCAAACAGAACCATATTTGTTAAAGGTAAGCTTGGATGGTTACAATATTCACGGAAATTGTGTTCTAGAACTACTTCCATTGTTTTCTAATAGAAAAGCTTATGTTAATGTAATTTTGTTAGGGTAGTTTTTCTACTCAATAAATATTCAAATCTACCTAATATAATATAACAAAACAAAGATGTTCAAGTTTAAATAAAGATTCAAATCAGGTAGATTTTTTCTTTTTTTTTTGTTTCAAAAAGATCAAGTTGCTCTATAATTCATTCCATGATTTGATATAATGTTTACTGTTAAAAAAAACTAAGAAAGATTTGTTGTACTGGGAACAGTTCAAGAACATTGATGGAATCATTACCCACCCTCGAGTTGAAGTAGTCACATATTTGGAGCCCTATGATTTGTAAAGATTAGACATTGGAAAGATACTTTTTTTCTTTGTTGGGTCTCTCTCTCTTTCATTATTAGTGTGAGAGAACAGGCGTTTTAGGCAAAAAGATGATGGCACTTGAGCGGGTCTCTTCTCTCAGTTTGTGATTATCAATATTGGGTTTCATTTTGAATAATAATAATAATAATAATAGAGTCCAAAAATTCAACCAAAGTAATGGGTTTTCCATTCCGATTCTGTAACTTTACACCATATCTTCCATCCCACCATAATCTGATTATTGGGTTTCGTTTTGAATAATGGAACACTCCAAAAATTCAACTAAAATAATGGGTTTTTTCATTCTGATTCTCTAACTTTACACCATATCTTCCATCCCACCACAACCCCTCTCTCTCTCTCTCTCTCTCCCTCTCTCCGCCCATTTATTTCATCTGTCGAATCTTACCCACACCATAACCAGTAAAGGCTATGGAAACCCACCTCCCTCCTCTCTGCCTCTTACCGCTTCCTCACTCTGCGTCTCACTGCCGCTGCCATAGCCTTCAACGCATAGATTAACGCTCAAGGCCTCTCCTGATTCTTCAATAAACCCATGTATGTCACACTAGATGTGAATCCCTTCTTGTTTTTCTTATGTTTTTGCTTGATTTTAATGTTGCCCTCTTCTTTGCTTCTGCTCTGCTTTCTTCTGGGTCTGTTTTTGAATGATGATGAGATGAAATTTATGCTTTCTGGGTTATGATTAGTCGCTCTTTTTGGTTCTTTTCTTGGAATTTTTCTGGGGTTTTCCCCTTATGGGTCTGATTTTACTCTTTTTCACTGAATGAATCTGCTTCTATGATACCTGATGTTGTGACCATGTGCTTGCTTAGTTGCTCTGGGTTATAATTTGTGTTTGAATTCATGGAGGAAGTTTCCATGAATCTAGGTTTATGTAGGCGTAAGATTTGTGAAATTGTAGTTTGGGATGAACAGATATATATGCTAATCTTAAGCTTAGCTTCTTAATATCAAGTTCTGGTAGAACAGCTGCTGAAGTGTTGAGGGCTTGTGGCCTTTTTCATGGATTCATAGCCAAAGATTGATCATGTATTAGGGCTCATTATCTCTTATCAAAAAAAATGTATTAGGGCTCATTATCATAAACTTTTAGGAATAATGTCATGTTCTTGAACGTTCTTTTCCATTATTGTGCAATGCAGAAGCAACATTAACTTATTTGATTGTTCTTGTAATTCTTAAAACAGAAGGAAAAGAAGGGAATCTCTGTGTTTGGAAGCCTCTGGTTCTTAACTTTTTTGGACAATTCATTGGAATAATGGAAACTTTAGATTTCAATATTGAAGCTGCTAAAGATTCAGAGCCTAGCAGTAGTCAAGAAGCAAATCCTGATCACTCTAACACTGGCACTGCCAGTTCTTCCTGCCCTCCAAGCTCGAGTAAAGTTGCTGTTGCTGATGCAGTGCCCATTTCACTTGACTTGACACTTCAGTTTAACTCCAACGATATCGAATCAAAGGGTGATGGTGATGGTGAGAATCACAGGGAAACAAATGGTAACAAATCGTCATCTGCATCGACGCCGAGAGTTTTCTCTTGCAATTACTGTCGACGTAAGTTCTTCAGCTCGCAGGCACTTGGTGGGCATCAAAATGCACACAAAAGAGAGAGGACAATGGCTAAACGTGTAACTCGGATGGGAATGTTCTTCGATCGATACGGTAGCTTGGCATCGCTGCCTCTTCATGGCTCAGCTCTTAGATCACTCGGCATTGAAGCTCATGGTGCTCTACACCAAACAGTTCTAGCTTCAGATCACAGGCCTTATCCTGGTAGGAGCGTTGGAGCAAAGTTCGAGCATAGCGCTTTCGGGTTCCCGACATTCGTTCAGGAATACGAGGATGATGTCGGGATGTTTTGGCCAGGAAGCTTCAGGCAGGTGGCTGCCAAAGTTGATAGCAGCTTAGGTCCTTTGAAATCCACAGTTCAAATTTCGGATTCAGAGTTTGGGAAGACAATTCCTCCTCCACCAAGAACAGAAGAATCATCTCCTGATCTCACTTTGAGGCTTTAGTAAGTAATTTTCATTTTGATGCCTTCTTCTTAATGTATCAACTTCTGTAAAGTGGGATGTGTCTGCCATTGTCTGCCATTTTTTTAGTGGCTCTAAGCTTATGAATTGTTGAATAAATCTTCAAATTTTTTCTTTTTGTGCCAATTACCCTTGTCCTAATCTAAAATACACTTTTTTGATCCTTTACCCCCCTTTTTCTTTGCAATTTTTGTCCATGAATTCCAAAAGTTTCTATTCTAATCTCGAATCGATACCGTTTATCGATCGAAATGACGTAAAGTTGATTTTTCAACGTAACAATATGCAAACAAAGCTTCTAATGTAGCTAAAGTCGATCCTTATTTTGACAAACATTTGTGAGCGTGAACTGAACTAAAACTTGGTATATTCTTGTGAGAATATAAGATTTCACATCGGTTGGAGAGGGGAATCAAACATTGATTATAAAGGTGTGGAAATCTCTTCCTACTAGACACGTTTTAAAATTGTAAGGTTAGACGACAATACTCAATGGACCAAAGCGGACAATATTTGCTAGCAGTGGGTTTGAGCTGTTATAAATGGTATCAAAGCCAAACATCAGGCCGTGTGCTAGCAAGGATGTTGGCCCCCAAGAGGGTAGATTTTGAGATCCCACATTGGTTGGAGGTGAACAAACATTTATTATAAGGAGGTGGAAACCTCTCTCTAGATACATGTTTTAAAACCATGAGGCTGGAGGTGATACATAAAAGGTTAAAATGGACCATGTTTATTAGTGGGCATTTGGGCTGTTGTAAATGGTATTAGAGTTAGACAACACGTGGTGTGCTAGTGAGGACGTATGCCCCCAAGGGGGTTGGATTGTGAGATTTCACATCGGCGGGAGAGGGGAATGAAACATTTTTTTATAAGGGTATGGAAATCTTACCCTAGTAGATATGTTTTAAAACCCTGAGGCTGACAGTGATATGTAACGGACTAAAGCGGACAATATTTGCTAGCGGTGGGCTTGAACTGTTACAATTCTTACTTTCGGTCAAACTAATATCCTATTCCTTCCACTATTGATATGTAATGGCTCGATAATCTCTCTTGTACCTATAAGTTCTTAAGTTAGACCTCATCATCAACTCGAGTTTTAATATCAAGTTTGGTAAATAAAATCGTTTTATAGCTACGTATGGATGTTGTAACGCGCGATGTTTAAGTTCATATTTTATTTGGAATAAACTGATTCTGAAATTCAAAATATAAAGTGGTGTGAGACACAATAATAGTTTTATTTGAGATTATATCCTAAGATAAGATTAAAATTAAAAATTAAATAAACTTAACCACTACAAGAACATTTATTGGATAAAGCGAACATTGTCGGCATAAGGTCACGAGTCATGAACCACACGACGGCGCTCAATTCAAGTGTATTGACGAAATTGCCCTTCCCTTCCACCCTCCAATAAATTATATACACGTGGCCTTTTCTTTTTTACCTTATGTAATTTTTTGGGTGAATTTAAATAATTGTTCTGGTACCTCTATTTTGACTTTTAATGATTTTTAAAAATATATATTATAATAAGTTTTTTTTTGAGAATATATTCAGGTACTTTCTTAACTGTTATCCTTTTATAAATAATTTATTTTTAAAAATTTGATTTTTTTTTTTTTCATTTCTAAAGCTTATAAATGATTTTTTAAAATATGGAAGAATTAAGGGTTATATTCCTAAAAATATTCTAAACGAACAAAATAACAAAAAGTTGGTACGATATTTTTTTTTGTATAGTACAAGTAATTAAATCATTGACTTTTATGATAATAATTAGTCTCTTTTATCCCGTAAAATTCCCATTTTTATAATTGAAATAGGAAGAAAATGAAAAAATAAATAAATCAAAGCCGTGTTGACTCTAATGGCCACCAAAATTTCTCATCCTCCATTGAAACAAGTCATTTTAATGAAATACAGGTGGCAATTCGTGATTGGTTTTTCTTTCTTTTTCATTCTTTAATATAAGAGGGAAAAAAAGAATCAATAATGGAGCTACGCATCCTTCCTAATTATTTACAAAACATTAGAATAATAATGAGGCCATTTTGTATATATAAAATAAATAAAATGATGATTCTTTCTCCTTTACCTATTATTTGATGGATATAATAATTGGATTTAGATATCTTCGAATCATAAATGAATAACTAATTTAACACAACATTAAAGATATTTAGTAATAAATTATAGTTTACCATATATATTATATTTGATATTTTATTGTAAGGCAAATATTAGGTATCTTTTTATTTATTGTTATTTCCATTTATTACTATTTCCATATTCTTGTAATTTATTTGATTATAAATAAGATAATTTTCACATCATTTAGGTGTGGTGGATTAATCAAACATTCACAATTTTATTTATAATTTATAATATAAATGTATAAATTTATAAAATGTGATCGCTATCGATGTGGTCTTGATTTATTTATATATATATTTATTCGGGTGCCGGATATAAATATTTATGGAGGAAAGTAGAGACAAAAGTAGTGGGGATGGGGGTTGGGACAAAGGTTTCAAAGAAAGAGGGCAAGAGACCAACATGATCCATTGAGACAAGGGCAAGTGTTTTAGGATTGGACCACTAAGTTGGAATTTAAGATGCTGCCAATTTGGAGGCACCACATTACCATATGAAATAAATATATACATAATGTTATCTCTTTATATATTTTATTCAATTATTTAATTTTGTATTCCAACCAAGCTTATACTAAATTTTTATGTCTTAATGTTCTTATGAAAGTACACAAAATGTTTGAGCATATCATATGGGGAGTTTGACCAAGTCAAAGTTTAAGACAAAAATTCAAATGCGTTAAATAGCATCGTCAAAGGGAGGTCTACTCCATCGTACGAGCGCCTCTCTCTCTCTCTCTCTCTCTCCATGTTGGTGGTCGCCGTCTGGATTTCTTTTTCTTCAACTAGCTTTGGAGCAACGAGCTACGCAGCGTCGAGCTGAATCGAGCGTATTTCTTTAGTCACTACAAACCCTGGTTTGTCCCGACCAAGTTCAATGCATCGGTGTTATCTGTAGCCTTTTTTATGTAGCACTAATCTCTGCAATGCGTTAATAGTTGCCCAGTTCATTAGCGTTTCACCATTGGTAAGATACCAAAGTTCAAGTCACCAAGTGAAATGTTAGAATTGATTTTGATTTTATTTAAAAATAACTCCAACCTTCTTATAGGATTCACATCAAGATTGCTTTGGACGGTATGAGATTCATATTAGGTCAAATGAAATAGTCTCCTAACTTTGAAATGTGAATTTTAAATTAGGTTCTCTAGACAAATTCTTAAATTGGGATACGTATTAAATTAGTAACAAAAGTCATTCTCACTCATCCTAATCAAATGATAAACCTTCGCATATAAAAGTTTATAACTCATTCAAGATTAAGATCAAGTCGCATAGGATCATTTTGTGAAATATTAATTTGCTCAATAACAAAGTTATAGAGATTAAACATTTAATGATTCAATTTTATTTAAATTTATTGTATAGGATACTACCTTTTATATGTCGATTTGAATCAAATTATTACTTCAAAGAGTGAAGACTATCTTTGCATACTAACATGATTTCTTTTAATATGTTTGGTTCTTATTCACATATTTCTTAAAAAAAATTTCAAGAGGCCACCCAACATAAAATTGCTCCAATCTAAACAAAACACGGTTTAACTTTGTTCATGTCTTGAAACTTTGTTTAGTTTTAAAAGTTTGAATTTTATTATTATTATTAATTTCAATAAGGTTAAATTTGAGAATGAGACATAAGGAACAAGTTAAATAGTCATCTATCATGGTACTTTAAACATGTTGTTTTTATAAAATGTTGACCAAACCTTAGACTTGGGAAATATGGGATTAATGTTTAATTAAAAGTCATACCGTTATAATCACATTAAATACGACAAACCTAAGTTATTGTTGTTAAAACAATGGTCCAATTTAAGGATATCTTTTTCAAAAGTATTACCAATGGGGATTTCACACAACTAAATATTTCGTATGAAAATATATTTTAAGAATTGTATCAACATTGTTCGTTGGATTGAGTTATGATTCGTAGTTCTCCAGGTTTGTTTAGTTTAGGAATTCATGAACGGTACATCAATTCAAATCAAAATTGAATGAGCACCTACGATGAAGGTGAATTGAATGTCGACCACAGGATAAGATGATCTTCTAATACGAGAACGAGTATTGTTGCGAAACTGGGACTTGGCAGCTCACAAACAACATATAGACGACAACTCCTTTGACCCAAAATCTAAGTCGGTGTGGCCAACTCATACCCAACAATGATAGGAACATCGAGCTAAATGAATTTACTATTCATTCTTGATTTACATTTCATACAGTAACCACCAGTTGGATTACCATGTGTGGCATATAAATACTTCATTATACAAATAATTACTTATTTTGTAAATGGCATGCTGTTAAGTTCTTGTTAAACAAATTTATTACCAAATTAATCACAAATCAGGATTAAAATAGCCAGTAATTTATATTTAAATTTTGGTATGGAAGAAAAAATATATATTTTTTTTATGTAATAACCCATGCATGAGAAACGTTTTAAAATATTTCAAGTAGGAAATACCGAGCGGAAATAATTCTAAAAATAAATGCTTCAAAACTTAATTTGGTAAACTAATCTAATTTAAAATGATATAACTAAACTAAATTTTAAAAATAAATATTTATAGAAGGGGAAAATGTACGAGCAACTTGTCTTATAACCTTTGCAAGAGAAACCGCAACTGTTCTAAGGTCTTCTTGCTTTTATCTATAAAAAAAATGTTTGAGAAAGGTTAGAGTATTTAAAAATACCTAATAAGTAACTCTATTGATGAGTCAAAAACTGCAACTACAAATGCTCATGGACCCACTAAGCGAGTATGAATCTTCTCTAAGCCTGACTATAGGTACGTGTACACTCATGCATATCGAAACTAAAGGAAAAGAATGAGTCACGAATAAGGTAACATAACTATATGCATACACATAATGCATGACTTGGAGAAGCAAACCATGAGAGGAACATACAACATGCATATGGTTCCACAAAGTTGTGAGATCTCACATTGGTTGGAGAGAGAAACGAAACATTCCTTAGAACAGTGTGAAAACTTCTCCCTAACAAACACATTTTTAAATCTCGAGTGGAAACTCAAAATAAAAAACTCAAAAAGTACAATATCTGCTAAGGGTGAATTAGGACTATTACAAAAGTAAAAATAATCATTAGTTCAATAATATGGTGCAACATAGTATGTACTATTACATAATCATAACTCGTAAATTTCGTGACTAACATCCACATCATCATAATAAAATGCGCTAACCACATGTCATACACATTCAATCTTAGGAACACGTAAATTTTAATATTTCTAAATAAAATAATATAGAAAATTACAAGGTTGTAAAAACTTTCGAAAAGTAAAGGAATATTATTTTTGGATTTGTATTATGATACACAAAATAGAAAATGGGAGGAATTTTAGGTGTTGGCTTAGTCGTGTTTGAAAGAAAGAAAAAGGCGGCGGAAGTGGGGGCGTTGCAACTGGGAGTTCTTCATCATCGTCATCCCTGAACAAAAAGAAGAATCCTAGAAAAGCAAGGAGAGAGAAAGAGAGAAAGAAAGATGTCCGTAATTCAGAACAAGTCAAGGGCTATTTCCGTAATCCTTAAAACCGAGTAAAAGCAGTCGTCGTCTTCGTATGAAAACGCTTGACATTTTCCCTGTTGCCCGTTGCGAAGGATTGTAAATCACTCGACGGGGGAAAGAAGAACAACAACAACAACAACAAAAGCAAAATCATCCACGACGACCTGATTTTTTCCCCTCTTTTGAAAACCCTCCAGCTAAGGCATGTTCGAGGGAAAGGATCTCGCTTCCGATGGTGAGAACTCTCGGACCAAGCTTTGGCGCCATGTTCCTGAGCGTACGAGGCCGAATTCTAATGCGAAATCTGGTTTCTCGGACAAGGGTTTTAGTTTTCGGGAAGAATCGGTGATGGGTTCTGATGGGTTGCATTCGAAATCTCCGAGAATCGGGAATTCGGCCTCTCAAGAACTCACTCTTAGCTACCTTTGTGAGAATTCGAAAGAGAAGGGCTATGCGGCTTCCTTCGAGAAAGGTAGTTACAAAGGTAAGGAAGTTTTGTTTTCTGAGAATTGTAACGAAAATGATAAATGGGTTGAGAGGGATTTCCTGAATTTGAACTCGATTAGGGGAAATCAATCGAAGCGGGAGATTGAGGAGGAGATTGAAAGGGAGAATCGGGGAAAGAAACCCAAGCTTGAAACGCTTAATCTTTCTTTAGCTTTGCCTGAAGTTTCCCTCTCTCTCACTGCTTCAAATGCTTTGCACAATGAAGATCCTCCCCCTGTCCGGTCTAAGCCCTGTAGGAGCGTTCAATCTTTGGCTCCTTCCATGAACAACACCCAAACTACTTGTTCTAACGATTTTACTGCTGCTTCGCTTTCCTATTCCTACTCCCACCAATTTTCTCACAACCCCAGTTGCTCCTTGACTCGAAATTCGACTGAGAATTACGAGTATTCGGTTGGGAGAGACGACCATATTTGGAACTGTGGAGAGGGAACTAATGGTTCGGTTCATAGCAGGTTCAAACCATTAGGGGATGGAGTTGCCTTATCAAATCATGGAAGTGGGCTGAATTCCTTGTTGCAGGGGAATCGGCCTTCGAATAAGGAGGTTTGTAACAACTCCGATGAACACTCATTTTTCCCGTCTGAACTACCAGCGAGACCGAAAATGGAGGCAAAGTTGGGGAATTCGATTGGAAGGGGATCAGAAAACTTGAAAGGGGTAGAGGGTATTACTAGGCTGGAGAGAATCATTCGTGAAATCGTCTCGGAGTCTATCTTGGTCATGGCTCAGATGGTTCAAGAGCTTCCTGATGAAACACTTGCATCAATCAAAGATTATTTGAAAGATCTGATTGCTAAGCCTGACAAGAGAGAAGAATTATCGTCCCTCCAAAAGCGGCTGGAGCGACGATCCGATCTGACCAAGGAAACTCTTTCGAAGTGTCACAAAGCACAGCTTGAAATTCTAGTTGCAGTGAAGATGGGGCTTGCTAGTTTCATCTCTGCAAAAAGCAGGTGCTCCATTTCTGAGCTTGTGGACATTTTCTTGTTTCTGAAATGCAGGAACTGCAAGAATGTAATCCCAGTTGATGATTGTGACTGCAAAATCTGCTCAGCCAACAAGGGGTTTTGCAGCTCATGTATGTGCCCCATTTGTTTGAACTTTGATTGTGCAAACAATACATGTAGCTGGGTTGGTTGTGACGTCTGCTCCCATTGGTGCCATGCTTCCTGTGGGATTGAGAAGAATCTCATCCGACCTGGTCCAAGCCTCAAAGGACCGTCGGGGACAACAGAGATGCAGTTCCACTGCATTGCTTGTAATCATGCTTCAGAGATGTTTGGATTTGTGAAGGATGTTTTTGTGTACTGTGCTAAGAACTGGGGTCTAGAAACCTTGATGAAGGAGCTTGAATGTGTGAAAAGGATCTTTATTGGAAGTGATGATTACAAAGGCAAGGATTTGTATATTAAAGCTGCTCGGATTCTGGCCAAGCTCGAATCCAAAGCACTTGCTCCTTGGGAGGCCTGCAATATCATTCTTGAATACTTTAATCGTAAGTTCTATAACTTTTTCATTTTGCTTTTCCTTTCTGGTCTTTTCCCTAGATTTGAGTATTTAATGTGTTTGCCAAATACAATAGATGCTGATCTACTTTGTGCTCCTTAATGTTGATTTTTGTTTATTGACTACTTGCGTGAAACATCAAGGTATATAATATTATGTGAAACTTTTGCTGACAGTCCTTTCTGTTGCTTGTTCATGTTTCCATTTATTCTTCAAATGGCCATCTCCTTTCTTACTTGATTTTCGAGGTTCATTATAAGTAATCGTTTTTTAATCGTTCTAAGACGCACGATTAGCTTTCTCTACAATTAACTAGGGGAGTACACACTATTATAGTAGCACATATTCACTGAGGTGAATGTCTTGGTTTTATTTATGAGTGAAAGTGTGAGATCCCACATCGGTTGGGGAGGATAAAGGTGTGGAAACTTCTTTCTAGAAAAGACGCGTTTTAAAAACCTTGAGGGGAAGCCCGAAAGGAAAGTTCAAAGAGGACAATATCTGTTAGTGGTGGGCTTAGGCTGTTATAAATGGTATTAGAGCCAGACACTAGGTAGTGTGCTAGCAAGGACGCTAAGCCCGGAAGGAGGTGGACACTGAACGGTGTGCCAGCGAGACGTTGGACACCGAAGGGGGTGGATTGTGAGATTCCACATCGATTTGAGAGATGAATGAGTGCTAGCGAGGACACTAGCTTCGAAGGGGGTGGATTGTGAGATCCCACATCGGTTGGAGAGGAGAACAAAACATTCGTTATAAGCGTGTGGAAACCTCTCCCTAGCAGACTCGTTTTAAAACCGTGAAGTTGACAGCGATACATAACGGGCTAAATCGGACAATATCTGTTAGTGGTGGGCTTGGGCGGTTACGATGTGTTTTAAAACCGTGAGGCTGACGACGATACGTAACGGGCTAAAGCAAACAATATCTGTTAGTTGTGGGCTTGGGCTGTTGCAGAAAGTTTTTCCTAGTAGTTATCGAGTTTACGAAAGTAAGTGATCAATGATTCGTAAGCAATCAATGGTTGATCGCTAAAACGTACAAATTAAACCTTGCAGTTACAGATTAAGTGGCTTTTTTAAGTGTTTTATACACAAGTGTAGGATGAGCTAATTAACCTTTTCAAAGCACAAGTTTTGAAGTAGCTATGTGTTCATTTGCGACAGCTGAAATTTTTAGCTCTTTTACAATGAACTATTTTCATTCATAATCTGTGAGAACAATTTGAACTATTTTCATCGAAAGACGGACCAGTTTTCAAGGTCATCTTCTGCAATTCTTTGCTGTTTGACATTAGATAGTAGTTTTTTTTTTGCGTTATGGATAACAATCTGGGTTATATTACTTCAATTTGTTTGTGTATATCCTTCTTGTTCTTCCTTTAGTTTAAACATGGAAGTAAAATGATGCTCTGTACATAGCTGGACTGTTCTTTAAAGTGTGTGTCGTGTTTAATTCTGTTGTTTCCCTTGTTGATCAAACCATTTCCATCTTCGATAATCTCATATCGATTTGGAAGAACAGACTCGAAAATATTTCGTTCTAATGATTTCTTCCAATTTTTCAAGATCTTCATTTCGTTTTCTTAAAGATTTATTGGGGTTGCACGTTTTGGTGTTGCAGTATGCTTTGACCAACATAATCAACGACTTGGTTCTATTATGATTGAATGCAGATGGCACATCAGAGATTTCAACTTCAGGGGTATTCTCCGAGAAGTTGGGAACAACCGACACGGCCAGCCTGTCAAAAGAGGGGATGTCGCTCCCTCAGTCGGGTTCCCTACCTTCATCATACGTGATGCAGAAAAACACCCCATCTAGGCCACATCATGACTTGATTACCAGTGATCTTCGACGGAACAATCTCAAAGCCTCCATTGGCAGCGACTTGAATGCAGTCGATGAGTTTCGATTTGGGACGTATACAAAGAAAGATGGCCTGGAGAGCTTGGAAAGCATTATAAGAATCAAGAAAGCCGAGGCAGGGATGTTCCAAAACAAGGCAGACGAGGCACGGAGGGAGGCTGAAAGACTAAGACAGATAATCATTGCGAAGACGGAGAAGCTCGACGAGGAGTACGCGGAGAAGATCGGGAAGCTGTGCTTGAAAGAGGTGGAGAATAGGCGGAGGAAGAAGGCAGAGGAGCTGAAGGCGCTGGAGAACTCTCAAATCGATTACTACAACATGAAGATGAGAATGCAGAAGGAGATAGGTGGACTGCTGGAGAGGATGGAAATGACAAAAAAGCAAATAGTGTGAAAGTTGGGGGATGGGTTTGTGCATTTATTTCTAACTTCATTTTTGTTGAGCTTTAGCAAATAATATTTACTATTAACGATTATGTTTCAATGAGTTGTGTTTGTTTATTATTTAATATCGATTTAGGAAATCTCTAACTTCATGTTCGAGAGGATAATGTTTTTAGACAAGTTAGCTTTTTTTCAAGATGTAGTATTAAATTTGTAACAAGTCAAGCCCACCGTTAGTATATATTATTGTGAAATCCCTCCTTGGTTGGAGAAGAGAATGAAACATTCTTTATAGCAAATGCACCTTAAAAACATTGAATCATTGAGGGGAAGCCCGAAAGAGAGCCAAAAGATGATGATATATGCCAGTGGCGGTCTTGAGGCTGTTACAAATTAAATTTTATTTATGGGCACTTTTGACAAAAACGAGCAAGTTTTATTAATTAATTTTTCCTTCAAAATTCTATGTTTGAAGTTGCAAGTATCTAACGGTTACATTTTTATTTCAAGTTAGGTACATTGGTCAAGTATATATTTGTTCATGCACTCTCAATTGTTTCGAATTTGTAATGTCTAGTTGAGTGTTTTTATGAGTAATTGAAAAAGTAAAAATTGTGAGATCCCACCTCAGTCGAAACATTTCTCTCTGGAAGACGCATTTTAAAAACTGAGGTTGACTACGGTACATAACGGGCTAAAATTGACAATATTTGCTATCGGTAGACTTGAACCATTACAAATGGTTTCAAAGTCAGGCATCGAGCAATGTACTAGTCTTGGGAGAAGATGCTCACGGCCCAAGAAAAACTTGTATTTGAAAAGATTCAATCGAACACGTCAAAAAAAAAAAAAAAAAAAAACGTTTTGTGTCATCTCTCTTAAACTGTTTTCTTAGTTCACCATTACATTTGCTAAATAAAGTGGAACTTAGAGATATGTGTTTAATCATCTTTAATTTGTTCCAAACAGAACAAGTTTTGAGTTAGGATAAATATGATCTTAACAATTAATCCATCATCTGAACAATGAACCTGAAAAATCACTCCATACAACACAAAGAAATAGTCCCACCAACAGTATCATCCCAAAAACAACAACCGGAAAAGAACACAAGAACAAAACACAAAAACAAAGTTAAGTCGTGAGATCGGCGTGGCGAAACCGATCAAAACCGATGGCGATATCAATGGAAATGCCGAAGAGGAGGACGAAGAAACCAGTGAAGTTAAGCAAACGAGACTCATGGTTGCCAGTGAGTGTCGAAGAAGTAGCCTTCTGAGACAAACCAGTCAAGGCTGTGCAGATAATCATCAGCAGCAGAGCCCTTCCCCCACTTATGTGCCATGGAAGCAGCCTGGCTTTGGTCTCTCTGCTTGCTCCTGGAAACAAAAACGTGCACAGACCCAACAGCCACTGCCATGCCATGCCATTGGTGTATAAAGTTTAAGAACATAATTGAAACTTTAACAGCATAGCATAGCATATTATGTACCTGTAAGCCATAGAGGCAGAAAGTGACAATGCCAATCCATGAATGCAAACTAAACACATGCTCCAATTTGATCATATCATGGAACTTGAAAGAAGCGTTTATGCCTGCAATTCCCATACAAATGGCTACAAAATGCAACGCCATGTGAACTATCTTCCTTGTCATTTTGTCTGCCCTCACTGTCTTGTAAGCCATCATTGCTGCTCAAATCCAATTCAACCATAGTTATAAATCTTCTTAAGATATAAATTAAACAAACTCAATCAAGCTATACCTTCCCCCGACACGAACACGAAACCGAGGAGCATGAAGAACGGGTGGCACTGCCAAAGGTAAATCTCTTAATATCAGTTCCTTTAAAACTACAATTTAAATGTGAGCCTTACATTGAAAACGAGTTCGGCGCTCCGAGAATCGTAGGCGAGGCCGCCTCGATAATGCAGCAGCCAAACGAGCGTAAGAATGCAGGCAGTGAGACCAAAAATATGTGCAAGGACTGCAATGGCAGAGGCAGTATGCCTGAAACCTGGCCTGTCCACAGTGTCCATGTCAGTATTGAGCTAAATTGTTGTGTTTGATGTTGTTGGTACATATAGAGTTTGAGAATGAGTTTTGTGTGTAATGTTGCTTGAAGAGCTGGGTTTGGAATTGGAAGCATTGAGAAAACTTAGGACTTTAGCAAAGGATCAGAGTTAAAAGTGAGGTAATTGGCAAAGATTGGGAGTTTTATAACAGAATTTTCAATTGGTGGAGCTGATTTGGGTTCGAATGATTGTATGAACAAAAGGAATCAGAGAGCAAAAAGTGATATGCGTTTTGATCAACAACTGTCTAAAGTATATGCATGAAGTTGAAGCCACATAGCTGTGAGTGTAATGGCTTACATGGAAAATCAATTCAATTGTGAAGGCCCAATATATTCATATTGCCCAATCCTTAATATTTGGGCTAGAAAGACGTCCTTAATATTTCCGTTTCTCATCCTCCTTCGGGCCAAAATTCTCTTTGGCACACTGCCTGATGTCTGGCTCTGATACCATTTGTAACAGTCAAACCTACCGTCAGTAGATATTGGCCCACTGCTAGTATATTTCACATCGATTGAAGGGAAGAATGCAACATTCTTATAAGAATAAGAAACCTCTCCGCAGTAGACGCATTTTAAAACATTGAGAAAAACTTTGAAAGAAAAAAATTAAAAAAAGACAACATTTGCTAACGGTAGATTTAAACATTCTTACCGCTCTAAAAAAAAAAAAAAATCTTTACTAACCCAATTATTTTTGTTACAATTTGGGTTCATTCTTTTTTATTTTTGAAAACAAAAATCTTTAGATAGTTTCAAAATAAAATTTTAATTATTAAAATTATTGCATCTAATTGATTTGCATAATTATAGCCATTTTTTATTGAAAAGAAATGTGAAATTTAAAAAAGAATAATGTATTGAGGGAAAAGTAAAGTTATTTATTATTATTATTATTTTGATAATTCTCTAAATATGGTTTGTAATTATTACAATTTTGTGATTTTAAATATTTTGGGATTAAAAAAAAAATGAAATCGCTATTGGTGGCTCTCCCACATGCCTTTCTGCCACATATGTTTTGGAGTTATTTGGTTTTTATTTCTAAATTTCTTAATTTATTTTTAGAGTTTACTAATATAATAAAATATTACTCAACAAATTAAAAACATAATAATTGAGAACAGATTTTATAGGATAAATAATAGAAGGCTTAGATTGTAAGCAAAACAAAGAATAATAATTTTAAAAAAATGAATAAATGAAAGTATTTTCGGGGTATGATTATTATATAATATTGTATGATAATTAAATAAACAAATGAAGTTGATTTAAGCTCAAGATAAAGACACTTCTGTATGGTTGACAATAGAACACCATAGACCTTACGTCTCTGTAGTTAAATTTTTATTTTGTAGATTTTAAATTACATTAGGACATTGTTTTAACATTTCCTTACCGATTTCTGTATGGTGACGTTTTACAAAATCTATCCATAAAACTCCAAAGCATTTTTGCTAATAACACCAAGAATGAGTATATAGATTTGGAAGCGAGAGGTAGGCAAGTTGTTCGAATATTAGTTTGTATTTATATGCATATTTGGGGCATCGAGTTTCGTAGTGGTACGCTATGATTTAAAAGATTAATGCTGAAAAGGAAAGGATTGAAAGGGGCAATATCGATCCTATTTGGAAATCATTTTCTTCCAGTTGTTCTTGAGGTAGACTCGTCATAAATATCTCTCTTAATCTATAATTTAATTTGTTTATTAATTAATTAAAAAAAAAAAAAAAAACTCGAATCATTAGTATATACTCAACATGTCATTTGGCATATTATGAAGCCACAAATAATTTGGCCCTTTACACTATTTTTTTCCCATCAATCAATAAAGATTCCCGGAAATATGCCAACAAATTTAGTAATTACAAAATATAATAATGAATTGAGATTATATTGGAATGAGAGCCATCTTAAGAATTGGATGGCTAAGAAAGCTTTTAAAAGACTGAAACAAAACATGTTGAAAAGACACGTCTTTTGTTTAGTAAGTAACGTTGGAACGTCGCTGAATATGATAATATTTTTTATTTTATTGAAAGTATTATAAAGAAGATATTGGAATCTACGAGTTATAATAAAATATGTTGGCATAGGACGAGCGAAATAGGAATATAAAAGATGGAAGGGGATAGAAATAGAATGAAAAGGAGCCCTACAATTATGAAAGTAGAGAGACAAGTAAGAAAGAACCCCACAAACATATATTTTTCCAAGTAAGAGATAACATTATAGAACAAAACATTATTGAATTTGAATTTGGTGTTTGGATGTGAAAGCTGTTTGATTAGGACATGTTTTTGTTTTTGGATCACTACAATCTTCCCTTTGCTGACTCACCACTTTTCTTTATCTAATTTTCCAACCACACATACACACATCCCATACCTTTCTCTCTCCCTCTCTAAACCTCTAAATCCCTCTCCAACTTTCTCCCGTAGTTAGTGTTGGATGATGAATTTAGGAAATGATCATGAGTTTATAAGTGAGGAATACTAACTCTATTGGTATGATGTTTTGTTCCAGGGGATGTGTTGGACGATGAAAGTCTCACATCGGCTAATTTAGGGAATGATCATTGATTTATAAGTGAGAAATACTAACTCCATTAGTATGATGCCTTTTGGTGAAGCCCAAAACAAAGCCATGAGAGCTTATGCTCAAAGTGGACAATATCATACCATTGTAGAGAGTCGTGTTCGTCTAACTGTTCGAACTTAATAAAGATGTTATGTATCATTTTTCTCTCTATAAACAATTAAATCCATTCCGAACTTTCTCCTCCTCTTCTTCTTTCTCTTTTTAACAATGTCGATTATCGGAACTTAAAAAAATGTTATATTGATTAGAGAGAGAAATTAAATGTTATATTGTTTTCTCTCTAGGAGATGCTTAATGGAGAGCAAAACACCAAAGTTAATTAAAATATAAAAATTATAATTTAATTCAAGCGACAATAAACATGACGTTAAGTTCGATTTTACCTCCACTAAAATGTTATAAAAAAAATTTAATTAAAATATACAAGGGCAAAAGTGTAGTTTCACTTCAAAAGGAAAAAAAAAATCTTGGA